TGCAGTAGCTTCTCCTGCATAGAAAACTTATAAACAGTTGCATTTTCCCATTCTTTCTCTAATAACGGAAGGAGTGGCAGGGATTCACTCCAGTGTTTAAAACACAACTTTCAGTTCTGTGCCTGCGTTTTCAGGATAAAAGGTTTGTCTTGTGCACGGAAAAGACAACTTCGGATTTTATTGATTTGCTTATAATTCTTGACAAAAAAAAAAAATGGCTGGGTTGCTTCTGCAGCTGCTCCCAGCACCAGCTATTCTGTAATTATTTCAGGTATTACATCCAATGGGCCGAAGACTCCAGGGAAGGCAATGTAAGAATACAAAGAATAATTGTAAGGTGTTTTTTTTTTTAACTGTAAGTTTTTACTTCTTCAACAAACAGAATAGACTCCTACTGGCAATGAGAGAAGGTCGATATCCTCACCTCTTTCTGGGGGTATTCCTGTTTCTACTATAAGGAGTAATACTTAGTTTTGAGACCTACTTACTTAAATGTCATCTTACTGTTTATTCGGATCTGATGACAAGAGCCTGAAGTTCAGTGGAAATAAGAATCAAGAATACACAGTAACTTTTAGAACCCTATTTGGGCTAGGTTGGTATACAAGAAGGTACCTACAGGCCCAGGAGAGGGAGTGAGAGAGGCTGATACACACGTACATAAAACCGTATAGATTATATGGCTTTTCATACAGTAATAAACAATGAGAGCTCCTGAAGATGATTTCGGTGCTCTGAGGGATTTTGCAGGAAACCTACATTATAAAGTATTGTTTTCCTACTGACAGGGTGCCTTAGGAAACAAGGGAGGAAAAAAAGAGCCTTTTAAAAGGGGCTGGAGAAAGAACGGTGCAAAGATGCAAGATTGGGTGTGGGCATCGGGGTGAGCCAAAGGTCATCCTGGGGCTTCAGGTTCAGCCTCAGGACCTCTGCTCCTGCTCCTTGGCACGTCATTCCCACAGCTGGCTGTGGGAATGGTTTTGCAAAGCCCCCTCTAGCAGTGGCCATGCACATGGGGGACATTTCCTTGTCCTCTCTGCAGGGACAGGAGGTTTGTCCTGGGTTACTCTCATGTGTTGAGTTAACACCCACCATGAGGAGAGGTTATCTGTGAGTTGTACAGGTTTATGACTGAACTCCCTTATTTCCTAAGTGCTGTGGATTAAATGCCACAGTGGCATTTCAGCCTGGGCTGTTTGAGTAAAGAGCAGAGGAGCCAAGGGAGGAGAACACTCCATCACTTGGAGGATGCTGGAAACACCCAGTGTGTCAGGGATGTGGATATCCATTTCCAGAGGGCTGTGATGCTCAAGCCTTGCCTCAAAGCATCCTGCCTCTGCTCAGAGCACAAAAAGCAGGGTGTGAGTCAGTTTGCAAATGAAGATTTGCTTTGGCCTTGTGCAGGGAGGTGGACCCTGTCAGGCCTGGAAGTCATCGGCTCAGGCAGCACGGGCTCAGGTTGTTAGTTGGTATTTACAGCTGGGAATTGGTGATATTGCTCAGGGTGTAGGGGGCTGCAGGGTCTGCATACTAAAACGCTCCTCTGGACCACCAGGTTTATGTTTTAATTTAAAATTAATTTCGATTTAAATGAATAATTTAACCCTTAATTAGGAGCATGTTTTCATCTCAAACAGGTCAGTCAAGCAGAGGCTAAATTCACTTTGCTGTTGAAAAGATGGTCACATTTTTTTTAATCAGTAGCTACCATGCCTTTGTTTTTGTTTCGCTAACTTCCCCCTCTCTGTCACTGAGATAGACTCATCAGTTATAGCTTAAGGAAATTCATTTTCATACAGTCCTGAAATTCTTACCAGACTTTGACAAAGTCATCATGACCTCACACTGAAATAAGAGATTGAAATCAGACTGGATACAGGTTTTCTTTTATTCCTGGACAATTGCATCTACTTCCTCTTGCGTCATCCTCCCCTGTGAAGGAAAGAAACATTTCTTAGCTTTTGGAGAAAATCATGGAGAAAAAGTAACTGCTGTTCACAGCTGGTTTCTGTGCTGAAATTACAGACTGTGAAGAGTTCCTGTGCTAGTTCCTATTGAAACCAAAGCCGTGGTACTCACCTCAAAAAGCCAAACTTTCTTCCACCTGTACATGTAATCCCAATTGTCTGACAGGGAAATGAATGCATTTCGAAGTAACAGCTTTATTTTTCCTTATATATCAGAATTTAAAAAAAAATACTAGAAAAAGAATAATTATAGTAAGTAAATCAACAGCATTTTTCACTGGCACCTCCCTTTCCACAGTTTCATTTCAAGTATGATTCCATTTTTTTTTTTCTTTTCCCCTCTTTTGGGCTGTAGTTGTGAATAATCTTAAATTGTTCTGACAGACAAAGACAGAAAGTGCAAGACAGCCAGAGGGGAAGACATGAGATTGGGATGCCCTTGCTGGGGCATACTGGGACAGCTTCTCTTCTTCACAGAGTCTGTCCACTTCTTATGTAAGCTTGTTTTACTGATGTTCACCTCCCTGCTGTGTTAAAATGCTGCTTTGAAAGTGTCCCAAATACACTGTCTTACTGTATTTCCATCCAGTAACTGAATTCTCATGTGTTACAGTCCTATGACTAAAAAATGCTTAATAAGCAGTGGAAATTGTGTGGAAATATTCAGTTTTAAGTTATTAGTCTAGTTCCTCTCATTACATTAAACTACCATATAGAATTATTTTTAAAAATTCCATTGTATGTATTCTTAAATACATCTTTGCCTCGTGTATGCCTGCCCAGAAATGTAAAAGTGTCCCTTCAAGCTGAGCAGAAGCAAAACCATTGGAGTTTGATGCTTGGCACTAAGTTTCAATGGGTTTTTTGGAGAAAGTGCTGTGTAATTAGCTGGGCAGATGAAGTGTGGTGTTTATTCCTTCACGTGTTCGCTTAGTTTTATTTAGTTTGTTTAGTTTGCTTAGTTACTGGTGTTGGAAAGAACAGGACTGGAATCCATTCTTTTCTACTTGGCTCATTGTCTTAGGGTTGGGGACAGAGACAGTAAAATCATTGCAGGTTCCTCTGTCAGTCAGAGGGACACCAAAGAGGTTTTGCTCAAGGTACATCATGGGGCAATATTTGGGAGGAAAGAGGTTTTAATCATAAAAGGCTGCAAAAATAATAGGAAAACAAACAAACCAAAAAGCCAGTTGTTTCCTGCTGCATTTCCTCCTCGTGGAGGTGTGCAAGAGTCACTTAGGCTTCCTTCATTTGGCTTAATTTCCTTAATTTCTTTAAACTCCTCTGCAGCCTCCGAGGAGAGTGAAACATCAGAAACTCCAGCTGAAGGTGGGCAGGCTGTGCCAGGTGAGGCAGGTTGGTGCTGCAGGAGAGAAGCTGGGGCAGGAGGTGCCTTTCCCAGCTGCTTTGCCAGCGTGGAAGTCAGAGGGAGCAGCTGCAGCCGGGGCTGGGAAGTGCTGAAGGGTGGCTGAGATGAATGTTTCCCTCTGACACACTTCACGCTTCTCACGCAGGGGGAGGAGGATTTCCTTCATTAAGATGTTTCAGGATAGGGCAGAGTAGTTCTCTGGCTGCTTGTCAGTGCATTTCACTCGGGTGTTTGGCACTGGGGACCAGCCCACAGATCTGCCTTACCCAGGTGTCCAGTTGGGTTTTGGTCACGGACATTAATGTTCCCTGTCTGCCCCATCATTTACAAAGATGCTGATATTTTTATTCAGGCTTTTTGCACATCCAAAGACTGCTGTTTTGGCAGTTCATGAGTGAACACGAAACACCACATAATCTCAGATTTTGTGCCGTGTTTATGAATCAGTTCACCTCCGTAAGCAAAATTGCAAAGTGTGTTACCTGAGACTGGTAAAACCATTCTTTTGGCTTCAAATGAGCATTTAATTCAGTGACAGGTCCTTAAGCTTAACTCTCTAGGGCCCAGACACGGAAAGAAGCCATGTTTTCCTTTGTATTACTCTTCTTTTTAATGTGATATTTGTAATGACAATATACTGGGCTTTTCCTGATGTGCATGTGCATTAGTCAGTGTTTGCTGAGGAACCAAAGTGTGGCAAAAGCTGAATTTGTTCTAAGATGTGGTCCTTTTTGTTAGCATGTGGTTTTTGTAAGTATGAGCACAGACCAGTGTCAGGCAGAATTTTTTGCTTCAGAAATGCCATTTGGAGATGGATGCCTGCCTTGGGGGAAAGCAGCAGCTGAACAGCAGAGTCTGCCGATTCCTATCTGATTTTCATCTCTTTTTTTTCATCATCTTGGTGGAGAGAAGTCAACACTTTTATTTCACTACATAGGTTTTCCATAAAAAGCTATTTCCTAAGTTGTTCCTTTCTATATAACTTACTTCTTCTGATGCACACGTGGCCCTGAGTCAGTCTAAAATGCAGCAGGAGTCAAAATGCAGGGAGTGTGCCAATGTAAATAAAACACACCTCCCCAGAGTTTTCTAGAAGCAGCTTTTGTGGGTCAAGCATCATCCCTAGAGGACTGGGTTAATGTTAAAAATATCCTCATTATGCAAATTATTGATAGTATCAGAAGCCTGATGCATGGTCCTTTGGAAATGGAACAGATCTTTCACTGTTCAGATTGTTTTCTTGATTTTACCTTCTTAGTCCTAATGAACTGAAGAGAGATAGTTTACAATTAGTGTGCCCTTGTAAGCAACCCTTGGCAGTAGAGAGAGGATAAATTTAGCTTCTTCTGAAGGATAGGGCCAAGGCTTTGGTAAATTAGCCAGAAGAGAAGAAAAATAAGGGAAGGTCTCAAAATGAATCATAGAAAATATTTATTCTTAGTAGTTTGTTTTAAATGCCAAATCCAAGCCAGTGCATGAAGAACTCCACTTTACCAAGAGGTTTTATTTCCATCAGCTCTCATTATGAGAAAAATCTGTAATTTCAGACCATAAATGCCTGCAAACTGCGATCTGCATATGGACATGCTCCAGGGCGTGTGGTCACACTTTAAAAATCAAGATGTCCGTGGAATTTAAAATCCACACTCCTGTTATTTTCGCAGCCTGTCGACCCGGGTTCTACAAAGCCTCTGCTGGCAACGTGAAGTGTGCCAAATGCCCTCCCCACAGCTCCACCTACGAAGACGCCTCTCTGAACTGCAGGTGTGAAAAGAATTACTTTCGCTCTGAGAAAGACCCTCCATCCATGGCTTGCACCAGTGAGTAGCATCATCGTGCTCCGGGCTGTCATCCCTGCTCCTCCATCTGCACCCCCATAACAACAGCTTGCTTGCTTCCTTCCCATGTCCCACTGCAGCCAGTCATCCACTCCCTCACGTCCAGGAGGGGAGCCAGGGTTTGGAAATCCCTGCTTTCAGCCCTCAATCCTCAGCTGCACCCTGAGGTGATAAGAAAACACGGTCCTTAATAGTCTAATAGTGAAATATTCCAGGAGTGTCTAACTGGAGGAGTTTGGTTGTTTATGCTTTTTACTTTTGTGTTCTTTGTTGCTCAGAGAGGGAGAAAACTCACCCTGATTTCCTTTTCCAGGGCCGCCGTCCGCCCCGAGGAACGTCATCTCCAACATCAACGAGACGTCCGTGATCCTGGACTGGAGCTGGCCCCTGGACACCGGGGGTCGGAAAGACGTCACCTTCAACATCATCTGCAAGAAGTGCGGGGGGAACACCAAGGTGTGCGAGCCCTGCAGCGACAACGTGAGGTTCCTGCCCCGCCAGGCCGGGCTCACCAACACCACGGTGACGGTGGTGGACCTTTTGGCGCACACCAATTACACCTTCGAGATCGACGCGGTCAACGGGGTGTCCGACCTGAGCGCGCTCTCCAGGCAGTTCGCTGCCGTCAGCATCACCACTAATCAGGCTGGTGAGTCCCCTCTCTGATCTACCCCTTTTTTTTTGCTGTTCAAAACCAGGTGCCTCTGTTTTCTTTCTTTACTGTGCAGAATTTGCCTTGCGTGCTCTCGGTGAATATTAACACGCTGTTAGTGTTCTTCTTTTAGAAGAACAGTCAAGTCAATTAGTTACCCTTGCACACTTAAAAGTGTGCAAGGGTAACTAATTGACTTGACTGTTCTTCTGAAAGTAAGAGCAGAAACAAACCCACTGTGTGTTTCCGTCAAAGAACCTGGCAGCATGGCTGTTATGACTAACTCCCAGTTCCCAGTTAATAGCCTCTAATAGCAGACTCACACAATCCCTTAACCAGAACGTGTTTTATTAATAAAACCGGATTTTAATAAAACACTCATTTCGAGATAATCTCCAACGTAAATTCCTTTAGTCATTCCAGTGATTAATTTTGATTAAATAGAAGTGAAAAAAAAAAGGCTCTGATGTTAGACACACACACACAAAAAGCTAACATTAAATTACAGTGGTTTAAAAACACAGCTTTTTTTTTTCCCCACCCCTTCACAAGTTGTCTCACCAGCTCTGAATTATTGCCAACGTGATGGGGGTGTGGAGCTGAATACAGAATTAAGTCCTGATGTTGTAGCTGATAGTATCCAAAAGGGCAGCTCTGCTTCTGTGGAGACTTATTAAAGTCCCTGCATGAGCACAGCAGTGTGCCCTGACTGTTGGACCGGAGCTTTTGCCATTGCTGCACTGCTCTACCCCTTGCTTTTCATTTAAGGTTCCATTTGTCTTAAAGACAAGAAGAGTCCAGACTCTTCCCTGGCATTTGGTTGGGTGCAATTTTTTTTTGGTTTGCCAGTGAAGAGGAAGACTAGATCCTGAAGTGTCTATTATTGTGCTCCCTGAGTTCACCATCAGGAAGCTCTGTACTGCAAACATTCATGTTTGCAGTCAGTCCTCTCCCACCTCCTCCCAGCCCACGCCCCATCCTCAAAATACCTACACTTCTGTGTTCCTTCCATCACAAACGAGTTAACACTGTTCTAAGCAGGCATTCTCCTGGTGGGCTGTGTCACTGCAGTGTTTTTCACTAGAGAGGATGTATCTCCTCTCCTCAGATCACAGAATGGCTTTAGTGGGAGGCATAAAAATGTGAGAGCAGACTGTTTTCCTGACACCAGTCACCGCTCCTCCAACTGCTCTGGAGGGCTGTCTAACCGTGCAGTGGGCAGGCAGAGGAGAATCTACCCAGCTGAGACATCTTCTCGTGAGCTCTTTCTCATCCAGGCATCGACTTCAGCTCTGAAACCTGCAGTCAGTGCATTTCTGGCACTGGCAGCTCTGTTTAATACAATCCACAGGCTGTTTAAGCAGTTTTTTAGTCCGTTTCCTACTTCTATGCATAGCCCCTTTTTTCTTTAAGGACATTTAGGTGATAGGGGTTGCTGTCTCTTGATGGTGCTAATTGTTTTTTTACTGTGTTAGAATTCCCTTAGAAGTTCTGCCAGTTGCTAAAATTAGACCTCAGGTATGTACATAAGTAATCTTTTAAAGCATAATTACACAAATGCAGTTTGTCTTGCGTTCCCTTACAGTTAAGATCACAAAATATACCAGAAGCATATTTTTAGCTGAAGTCATTCTTAAAACACCTGGGGGGAGGAGGTGGAGAAAAATTATGATCATCTATCTCAAATTGCATTGTAATGAAGGGTTTAACTGGGAGGAGTCTCAAAAAATAATTAAAGCGTTTTTGAGCTGGATCTGGAGGAGACCAAAAGATTCCAAAAACCAGTCATGACTCAAGGGATATTATTTGCTCTGACTTTAGGTGCGTTTCTTCAAGGATAGGGTTATCTACCAGTTGGATAAATCTCTGGTTAAATGGTTAAACTCTGCTGGACTCAAGGAAGTAAGAGAGATGTATTTCTCTGGGAGGTTATTCCATGGATGAGGTATCACATAGGATCAGTACAGCAGAACAGATCCCGGGGACAGAGCCCCTGGCAAGTCTGCAGAAGGAATTATCCTGGTTTAACGGTTGGATTCAATGATCTTAGAGGTCTTTTCCAACCTAAATGATTCTATGCCAGTCAGTAGGCTGCAGGTTTTGGGGAAGAGGATTGAAGTGTAGAAGGTCCTTACAACACAGACCTCTTCAGTCCCTCCACAATCCAGGACATTTCACTTCTGCCAGCCTTGACCTGAGAATCCTGGACCCTTTGCAACGGGTGTGGTGAAGTTGCAGATTTAATCCTGGATTTTTAGCATCCATGTGCTTTTTTCAAGCGCTGTCAGTGTGTGTTAACAATTCAGCTGATACTTTCAGAGTCAGTCGCTTTGCAGAGCAACTCCATTTTTGTCCCTAAAGGGGCCATATACAGACATGCCCACACATTTGTGGTTTACATAGACCCAACACAAACAGTTTCACCTTAAATGTTGCTGAAAAATTCACCTTTACAGTGACTCTCAGTTCCAGAATCTGTAACAATCTCAGTGAGATTTTCCTAAAGGGTTTTCAAACCTGATCTGGAAGTAAAGTTGTTGCTTGTAAGGCCGGAAACATCCAAACTCTGATTCTGCTGGTGCTGCGAAACCAAAGAGGACGGTACATTTTACATTATATAACTGTTAGAAAATCAAGATCCCGTCCCCAGAACTGAGGGAAATTCAGAATTGTTTCAGAAAATCGTTTGTTTGGTTTGTTTTTTTTTCTTCAAACTCGCTGTTCTGATTTTTGCTGTGTTTTTATTGTAGTGTGTTTTCTTTCCCTTCCAGCAAATGTAAACGAGCAGAAATCTATAGAAAAAAAAAAAAAAAACCACCAACAAACAAATGCAAAACCAAAATACAGGTGTTTTGCAAACGAGGCTGGACAAGTATGACGCTGCAATATCGCTAATTTCTGAGAACCTTTCTATCTTTGGTTTGGATGTAAAAGAGAAAGGGAAAATGCTTCCATTTAATTGGGTTTGCTGATCATCCATCCTCTTTGACTGCTTGTATCACAGGCCTTCAGCTGCTGCCTGGTGCAGCTTCCTCTGAGCTGTATCAAAGCACTGCTGCTGCTCTCACCTCACATCAGTATGCTGCACCAGGCGGATGCTATCTCCTGATAACACCAATCAACCCCATTTAGGAAGGGTCAGTGGCTGCTGCTGCAGGAGAGGCCGCGGAATTGGGGACCCGTGGAGGTGACACGCCAGTCTGGATGTGCCGCCCGGGGAGGGTGACGGACGTGGATCAGGCATCTCAGCACAGATATTCTGGGTTCACTGGATCGTCTGAGCAAAGTTTATGGGCTTTTTTTTTTTTTTTTTTTTTACAAAACCTACTTATCCGTAAAGAGCAGAACATTGTGTTTTCCTCAGAGCCTTGTAAGGAACCCAGAGAGGGGAAAGTCGACCCGTCCGGGTCAGGGCAGTCCTGCAAGCAGAGAACTCACACACCGGAGCCCAAGGGGGTTTTAAATGGAAATGGGGTATTAAATGCAGTGAAAAAAAGACTCAGATGTGGTCAGGACCATGCGGTCGTGCTGCTGGGTAATCAGTTTACAGGAATGAAGGAGGAGGTTTTCCAGGGGGCGTTGGGTTTGAGACACAGGCGAGGTTTGTGTGTTTTTCAGATGTTGCCTGAGAAAGTAACAGGATTTTTTCCCCATGAGGTTTTTTTTATGGTGTCCCGTACAGGTTAAAGGCACGACTCAGGAGTGCTGGACAAAAAGATTAATGTTTTAATCAAGGAGCTAATTGACTTCACAGCATTTTAAACAGACATCTCTGCAGTGTTCTTTGCAGTCAGAGGGGGCAAGAACTTTTAGAACTTGCAGAAGTCTGTATCATTAGCAGATGCTGACCTATCAGGTAGGTCTTTGGAAGTGCTGGCCATCCCACTGGTGCCCCAGTGCCATTCCCACCCTTTCCTCCCAGCAGATCTGGTGGGAAGGTTCACCATTCAACAGTCAGATCTGTCTTTGATCTGAGGTCTGCTTGCTTGGTTTTGTTTAACCTTGTATTTCTTAGTTCTAGCAACTATGAATTCATGCAAACAATGTGATAATGGCACATCCAATAAATAACAAATACAGTTCTCACTGTATTTATTGTGTAAAACAAAACAAATACTGAAAGCATTCTGAGCTTGTTGAAACTTGGGGAGTTCCCAAAGTGAGCAATAACAAATACATCTTGCTGTGTTCCTGAAGGGAGTTGCACTTCCTATGTATTAATTTAACTACAGATAAACATAATTAAACTATAAATCTCCTAGAATTTAACTAAATGAAATGTGGCATACCTGTTTAAGCACAATCTATGTAAGTCTTATTGGATAGAAGCATATACCTGATGATAAAAAATTATATAATTGATTAGGAGATCAGAAACAACTAGAATTTTCTGGCCATTACCTTTAAAAGCTCTAGTTTTAACTGAAGAAGGTGTTACAATTGCTTTATAAGGAACTCTCATTCTAAGCCTGTGTCCCAAAGTTGAACAAGATGATGTATAAACTTGATACAGAACATTTTCTCAGCAATCATGTGAAGAAGCTGAGTGTCTTTCTTATTTCCTTGGCTTTCCAGAATGTAATTCTGGTGAGCTTCCTGCAGCATCTTATTTCCAGTGTGAAGCTTTAACACTCCTGTTAAGTAGATCCTGTGGTTGGGGAGGATTAACTCGATGGACATGCTGGAGGCCAACAGGCTGGAAAGCAGCTTTGCAGGAAAGGACCTGGAGGTCCTGGTGGAGCATCTGGGACCAGGGGTGCAGTAGGAACAAGCAGATGAAGGAGGTGATCCCTTTATTCAGTGCTGGTGAAGCCACATGTGGTGTGTCCAGCCCAGAAAAGGGGACATTTTTTCTCTCATCTTTTTCAGGATTAATAATAAGGTAAAAAACACATCAAGTGTTTTCCTAAAGTGTAAACACACAGCCCAATATGTTACAGCCATTGGATCAAATTTAATTTACTCCACTTTTTTAAACGGCTTAGCTGTTAAATCTG